CTCTTAAAAACAGAAAAATAAATTGATAATGAAAAGTTGATCAAATCATCATTGATCAGCTATTGACGTGAATTCAAAGTGCACAGCTTTATTATAACAATGTATTTACATCTATGTTGATATCAAAACAATATAATAATCAGTCGAAATGGTTTTTAGATAAAAATGAGCAGATATTTTATCCGGCGTCAGTAACCGTTTCCTTCTGTGTGTTTAGGTGCATTTAATTACCTGAAGGAGAATTTCTCCAACGCTCCGAGTCTGGACATGAGTGGCCCGTCGCTTTGCATGCTGGTCCGGCTGATGGTCGCCCAGGTGCAGGAGTGCATCTTTGAGCGCGTCACACTCATGACGCGAGACGCACACTTCACGTCCCAACTCCGTCTGGCACAAGAGGCTGCACGGGTGACTGCTCACGTCTGTGGTTTGTCTGTCGTCACTGTGGAGATGCTGCGACGCTCACTGCGTACACGCTGTGCATGTGTGTCTCCTGTAGGTTTCGGACGTCTACCTGTTGGTGCAGCAGACCATGACGCAGCCTCTGATGAAGGACTATGTGCCTTTTTCGTGGGCGTCCATGGTTCAGGTCAAATCTGAACACTTCCGCGCTCTCTCACACTACTACACTGCTGTTGCGCTCTGTGACCACATGTGTAAGTAAAAAGAAACAAGTCAGATCTGGAAGGAGTTTTTTTTTGTTGTGGTGTCGATCACATGAACGTAAACAAGGTTTGAACCTGATGTGTCTTGTTCTGTAGCGTCTGCGGAGGACGAGGAGAAAGAGGAGAGGCAGCAGCAGTACGAGGAAGCAGAGGAGGCGTTCCTCCAGTTCTACGTTAGCGCTCCTGTAGGACCCTCACTCAGCCTCATTCTGCAAGACCCTGAAAAGAGACGAAAGCTCGGTGAGTTCATGTGAAGCAGCAGAAGCATTAGAATGGGAATAAATCACTTTCAGATTAGAAATGGTTCATTTTAAGTATTTTATTATGAAAAAGAATCTCTGCTGACATGCATCAGGTAAAGCTCACCTGCGGCGTGCAGTGATCCGACACGAGGAGGCCATGCGTGTCCACGGTCTGTGTAAGATCCTGAGGAAGATGGACATCCTGCAGGACGTGTTGTCTCTCACACACAAACGCTCTTTGGACAAATACTCAGAGCTGGACCGAGAGGACGACTTTGACGAAACCGCAGAGGCTCCAGAGATACAGTGTAAGACTTAATGATGCTGAGATCGCTTCTACTCAGTATGTGACGAGAGGACAGTTGGTGATATTTGGTTTCTGCCATCTACAGCTCAAACCCACCAGAAACCAGACATCACTCCACCCGACTTCTCCACAGTCCAAGTTACTGACATCTTTCAGAGACTGGTAAGCCCCCCAGCTGGTAAATACGCTCTCAAGTTAGAGATTGAAATGACGTGAACAAGTTGAAGAAGACTTCTCTCTGTGCTGCAGGGGCCTCTGTCTGTGTTCTGTGCTCGGGCTCGTTGGGGCCCGGTGCGACTCATCTGCCTGCAGAGGAGAGAGGGCGGCCTGGGCCTCACGCTGAGAGGAGACTCCCCCGTCCTGGTGGCAGGAGTGGTGCCCGGAGGCTGTGCAGCGGTACGACAACATCCACCGAGCCGTCGTGTGCGTTAGTTACAGATATTGTGTTTGAGTGGAGAGAACATCCAGTAAATCCCTGTGTGGATCTTCTTTGTTGTGCAGGAGGCAGGACTGAGGGAAGGAGACTACATAGTGGCGGTGGATGGTCAGGACTGTAAATGGGCCAAACACAGCGAGGTCGTCCACATGCTGAAGAGCTGCAGCGACAGAAAGGTGGAGCTCAGCGTGGTCACGTTACACTCACATGATACACAGGTAACTTGAGGGTTAAGTGTGTTTGGGACGTCAGTCAGACTGTTGACGTGTTCGGTGACTTGAGTGTGTGTCTGTGTGAGCAGGTGGAGAGGAGGGCCATCATGCTGTCCCACTGCAGCGACAAAGAAAACGCCCGGCAGCGTCTGCTGGGTGGGGCTAAGGGCCAGAGCTCCGCCTCCCTACTGAACTGGAACAGGAAGAAGAAGAGAGAGGGCGACGGCGCCACCAAGAGACTCGGAAGCACTTTCAGTTTGTCATTTGGAAGCATCAGAGACACGGAGGCCATGTACTGAGGCGTGACGGCAGAGCATCCACTCAGGAAACAACAACAGCAGCGCCGCTCACGGTACGACGGAGGCTGCGGTCTCTGTCGAGTGCTGCACTCGCTCCACCAGCTCCTCTGTTGGAGGAGCCGCAGCGTTGACTCACACTTGGCTGCAGCACAGTTTCATGTGTCTGGCAATTTTGTCAGTCAATCAAATACACGGATGGATACGTACCAGGTAGAAGTCTGAAGCAGGACAAATCATGAGTGGGTGTGAACAGAAGACGCAGCGCGGTGGAAACTGAGTTTATGACAAAGCGTCAGATCAGTAAACAGACTTGACGCAGCCTGAACCTGTGACGTGTACGCTCTGTGTACAAAGACTTAGCTAAAAAACAAAAGCAGATGGTCTTTGAGTGACGACTTGATAATAAGAGGGAAGAGTTTAGTCTGAGCTGCCACAAACTTTTCCACAGGCTCATAAACATCTAACGTCTTAGTTCGAATGGCTGATCGGAAAGAATAAACACAAAGTTCTGCAGTTACTTTTCTTTCTGTCTGAACAAACTTAAACTCTCGTTCAACTCCCTGCATCCTTTTTACTGATCACGTGCAGCAACGTGTCCCCAGATACTCAGAGTGTTAGAGCGCAGCATGAGTCTGACGTTGACCTGACAGCTTCACAAACTCTTTTTGCCTTTTTTAAAATGGATAATAATAAACATGTAAACACATTTAGTGAGCACAGAGTAGATTTTCTTTTGCTTGCATGTAACTTCTCTTTGAAATGTAAGTGCGCTTGCTAAATATATTTTTCAGTGCTGTAAATCTCAAATTGCTCACTCAGGAACAAGCACAAATATAACAACACTCCACTTTCACATAAAACAAAGTATTGTAGCAGATTTCTTGTGTCTCATATTTGTTCCTGAAGTTGTCTCCGAGGTTACAGAAAAACTGTGAGTCTGTGTTGAACACAAACATCTTAAACTTATCTGATGGAGATGATTCAGTTCATGATACTTTACTGTCTAAAGTATAATGTTGGGCTTCATCCTCAGATCAGCGTTTCTGGAGAAATATTTTAGTTTTTATCATTTCTGGATTAATTAAGCACTTCAGAGGTTTTGACCTAATGTGTTGTAGTTTGTGTTTTAGCCGAGTGTGAATATTGAAAAGGAAAAGTGTTCTGGTTCTGTAGCTCTGCTGCAGTACTGAACACGAGGCGCAGAGCGAGGTGGAGTAGATGAAATAAACTGTGAAACTGAGAGTTTCTGTGACGGCAGCAGTGTGAGGTCGTTGTTAAAGTCCAGCCACTGTACTGCACGTTACAGCCAACTCTAGATCTGTGAATGACGTTAGTGGAGAAATGTGTCTTTTGATTAACATTGTTTTTGTAAGATTTTGATACGACTAAATTTAAAAAGTGAAAACTGTAGCACATTATTGTTCAGTGGATGATGTGTGTGTGTGTGTGTGTGTTTCCTGTTTTGTCTGTACAATGCTCGTGCCATGAGGGCTCAGAGTCACGAGGACAGAAAGCCAGAGGTGAAAGTTTAAATGAACATAATCATGAAAATCAATTTTGATTTGAAGGAAACAAATTAATCTGTTATCGACTCTGCTCTGGCTGTGTGTGTGTGTGTCTGTGTGTCTGTGTGTGTGTGACAGAGAAAAATAATTCTTCCTGTGTGTTTTTCACTGAATATCTGACCATCTCTAAATAATTCATTTGGGGATTTGCACAGTATTTTTTTCATATGAAATCAATAAAAGTGAGAATTAATAACAAGGAGCTGCGTCTGTGTTCATGTTTCTACCATGTTACAATGAAAACTACCTTTAAAAAATGGTGTGTATAGTATAAATACACACCAGTGGGTAAATATAGCAAACTAACTTTATGTTTTTCTGAAAAAAATCAGACATTTTGAAAACAGTGTTTTTTTCCTTAGAGTTCAAATTCTCAACCTTTTTCTACTAATGTTTTTTTATTAAAATACTGAATCAGTTTCCTCTGGTTTAGTTTTTACTGTATAGTCTGATCATGTGATCTGGGGAACCATGTGTTTGAGTGTATCCTCACCTGTGGGTGGAGCTGGTGGACAACACACCAGCATGAGGGAAAGCTTCCTGACGACCTCCTCGATCTCCGTCTGCCTCTGAAAGGAATCAACGTGTAGACGCAAGAACAAACCTTCACAGTTCTCTGCTGAACTTCGATATGTAACTTAACTTAAGATTGATTTGACTTCATACAGACCTTCAGCGTGACGTCCTCAGATGTTTTCGTCTCCAGAGGTTTGGTTCTCAGGTCTGTTCTCACATCAGAACAAACACTATCTGACTTTTACAACCCACGAAGATCCCACGTGCACACTGCAGATTCCAACTGAACCCAGATACAAACCTCGCTAAAACAAATGTCTGACCCGTTCTTCAGGGTACGGTCAAACAAATGTGACGCACATATCACAGGTCAAAGTTCCGAGAACTCCACTCCTTTGTTTTATTTGCCCCCTCGCTCACAGATCTGAAATGAACGGGAGGCAAATGTTCGACACTGAAACATTTGACAGGATCCTCCCAGAGGCGATGAACCAATCAGAACGCTGCCCAACATCAGGTGAAGAAGATGACACGGTGCTCCAACCTGACTGAAAATCGAATTTGATCCTTTACAAAAACTGAATTCTTCGTGGCGCTTTGGAAACGTGCAGGACACCACCCGATGTGTGAGATGTTCCAGTGTTGGCTTCAGTTTGTCTACAGGACACATCGAAGACTGAAATCACAACAGAATCTGTCAGAATATTAAGAATAATTTATTTCAGCTTTACTTTGGGTTTGGAGAGGATTCATTAAATGTTGTTAAGGTTTTCTGGATGAACAAAGTCTCTCTGGTCCAGTCTGCTAACATGGAGAGTATCACACAGTGTTATTCTATTACTGAACCGATCAACTACCACATTATTCTCCTGTGGAAACACAACGAAACAATCTGAGTCCCAGACAGAGTTCACAGTTCACGAGAAGAACTTTTCTCCCTGAACCACAGCGACAGCATGGAGGGCTGTGATTGGTTGGAGTTTATCCAAGCGGAGAACGTCGAGACTCTTTTAAAACAAAAACCGTCAGTTCCTGGAGAGCAGACGAGCAGAATCTCCGACTGTGACCTCTGTCCGTCTCTACGAGCCTTCTGTGGTGACCGCCGGGCCGAGGCCGCTCTGCTCCAGCTCCGCTATCACCAACATGTGTTTGAAGTCTGCAGGTTTGTGGTTGAACGTCTCCACCAATCGGAACGTCTCCTGCCGCTGTGTGCCGTAGAACAGCTGCACCTGATTGGCCAAGCACTGGGCCTGGTGGACGGTCTGAGAAGAGGAAGACGATGATGATGATGATGATTCCAACATGATGGACCTGGTTGAACCACATTATCAGAAGCAGTCAGCCGTTAATGAGCAGTTCACTGGACTTACGATGAACTTGGGGTCCATCTCCGCCGTCATGAGGACCACACCCTTCTCCTCCTTCAGGTCTGGGTAGTGGTAGAGGATCAGCTGACTGGGAGCGTTCTCACCCATCGTCTGGACACAGGAAGAACAGAACTGTGACCAACACCTCCAGGTCACCATGACGACAACAGTCTCAGCTCAATCTGATCTCTACAACTTCAGTGTTCTCAGATTTTAAATGACTAAATTTAACTTTTGCCACGATTTGAGGTCAGCCTGAGAATCGGCTGTGTTTCAGGACGAGCTGCACATGAAAGCAGATCTCCTGTTTGAAGCGTCGGACTTTCCCAGCAGTCCGCTCTGTGTGTGTTTACCTGGACGTTGATGAGGGAGGTGAAGTGCAGCTCGTGTCCGGACCACTGACCCAGGAAGAACTCGTAACCCTCGTTCTGAGGAAGAGCGTAGAGGAACTGAGGGAGGACCAGAGAGGAAATATGAATAAATTAGGATTCACTGGTTCATGTTCAGATCATGAATAAATTAATGCTGAGATTTCAAGTGTTGTAATCTCACAGAACCGGAATTGAAACTAGTTTTCCTTGTGGTGCAGAATAAAAGAAATGTTCCCAAAATATTCTGTGTTTTAGTTTTTTATAATCTGAGTATAACAGATTATTCTCTGCAGTGAACTCACCATCGGACAAGAGGACGACCTGTCGAGTATCATCTCATAGATCTGTGTCTGTGAAGAGAAGAGATCAGTGAAGGTGCTAATGTGAACTTTGGTCAATCTTTTAAACCAAAAATCTAAATTTTATTAAAGTTCTATTTTCCTGTGTGATATAAATCATGAAGTAGTGTTTATGTTGTGGTTTTACTAATTTATGTATTTATTTATCCTAGTTTCACTACATACGCCTGAATCTTTATATTGCTTTATTAATATTTATACTTTTGTAAGTTATGCATCACTAAATCAAGGCTATTTAATGTGTATTGTCCTTTTGCATTAATAAACAAACTTAGAGGTACATTTGGAAATCAAAGCAAAAAAACACAACACAACAACTTTAGGTTTAATCAGCTCATAAAAAACTGAAACCAGAAGTTTGTATTTTCGATATGTTGTCGAGTACAAACACTGACAGTTGATAAACAAACTCTTCAGCAGTGAAGTGTGATGGTTAAAAAGAGTGAAAATCTTTTTAACAATCACACAAAACCATCAAAAATATCACAACAAACCTCAGAACAAAGACGACAAAGTTGTTGTTTCAATTCATTTGAAGCTGTGGGAAATTAATTTGTGAAATGTTTGGAGAAGAACGTGCTCTCTGGTGTTCGACTCACCGGGATGACGGCGCTGATCGTCTCCTGCATCGAATAAAATGTCATCCAGAGCTGAGAAAACAGAAAAGAGCAAAAAACAAAGAACGGTTCCAGCTGCTGCACTAAACCACACGACAGGAAGTGACGCAGACGTGTTTGGTTACATCAGAGTGTCGCCCACAGACTCACCTCCGTGATCTCCTCACCCGTCATCCCCTGAATCTTCTCCATGTTGAGGATGGAGCTCAGAGTCTGAGGAACATAGAGTTCACACACTTCATCGTTAAACATCTTAAAACTTTCAGAGGACACCAGTGAACATCTGATCACCTGCAGGATCTTTATGAACCTCGACTACAACTGCTGCTGGTGTTCAGGCCTCTGCTCCGGCTGCTTCAGAGTCAGAAAAGAAGAAGCAGCACTTTGTCGGAGCTGCCTGATTAAACTGCTCCTCCTCTCGTCTCACCTTGTTCTTGGTGAAACCTCCTGAGGCTCCGTCGGCAGCCATCTTGTCCTTGTTCTCCAACTGCAAAGATCCACACAGCGACAGTTACACGTCTCACTCACACTCGTGCTGTCGCAGGTAAATGAAATGAAACCAGATGAGCGTGAGCTCACAGGAGATGGTTGTGATATAACTACACACTGGAACCATTCAAAGGTTCTCGTCATTTCTCCAACGATGCAACAAGAACATGCAAGTCCTCAAAACGAGAGTCAGTCACTGGTTTGTGACTTCGTCTGCTGTTTCTGGACTTTTCAAAGTGTCTCGTGTCGGAACTTCACCTCCTGCTCCATGAGCCTGACGAACTCTGCCTGCTTCGAGTGTCCGAGCACCTCCTTCTTGGCCTCATGACGTTTCTCCAGTCGAGCCTTGTACTCCTGCGGTTTGGCACTGAAATCACATTAGAGAAATATTAATAAATAAATACTATAATATAATTACTGTTACACGTCTTTATCCCGTGTTGTAAATTGATTTACTCTGTACAAGTTCTGAGAGACGGACCTCAAAAATAACTTCGACCAGAGAACCTGTTTTTATTTCATCTGATTCGTTGTTTCTGTCATTTTACTAAAATTATTTTCTTGAATCATTTTGCAACTGTCTTAGTTAAATAAGAGAAGCTGCCGAACTCCGTTTACAAATCTGTCCATTTAACGCATTACCTCACTTTGTATAAGTCAATTCATCATTTCATTCTGTCTTTTTACCCATTTAGGAATCACAGGAGTGTGATGATAAATTCGGCAACGAATTAATTCTCAAAATAAATCTTTGTTTGTATGAAAATCCTCAGTTTTCTTTGAGAGAGCGCAGAAACCTCACACACATTTATTAGAGTTTGGGTTCAAATAATTAACGAGGAATGAGCTGTGA